TTTTTTTTTTTTTTAACGTTAATTCATCTTTATAGTTAAAATGATTAACCAACACGTCCTCAACTAAGCTAAAGGATTTTTTTTTTATTTTTATTTTTTAAATTCAAGTATCGTCAATTGAGATTTTAACAAAGCTTATTGAAATTTGTAAAAAATTAGAAGCTCACCATTGAGATTTTAGAGTATTTTAAAAAATTATAATCCATTAAAATCTCAGTCAAGAACGCTATAAAATTTTCTCAAATATAACTGACTATTTATTTATATTAAAACTTGCTTATTTTCTTGTTGAGTAAACTTATTTATAATCTATTAATATCACATCAAGTGAAAATTATTTTTTGGACGATTGTAAACTTACTATGATTCAATTATTTCAATAATGCCTCACTTTTCATTTTTCAATATTTATTTAATTTATTTAACTATTAGTTATCATCAATGTACATGTACATTTGACAAATTCATTTCGCCTCTGTGCTTTCATTAATGTATGAATTTTCTTTATTAATTCTCAATTAATTAATATTCACATTCATTTAATTAATATTCACCTTCATTTATACATTTCTATATTATTAATTTTAGTTATAAGTTAATTCAAATTTCACATTCAAGAATGCATTTCACTATTCGCATCCATGTATGCTAATTAACATCTAATTTTACTTAATTGACAATTAAATAAATGATTTAACATTCATTATTGGGTATCTATTCTTTGATATTAATTCTAATTTAATCAACATTCAAGTATATTTAAATATTACTTTTACAGTACCTAAAACATTTCATAATAATGTGCAACGTACGTTCAATGTTGACTAGTTTATCGAAACATCCTCGTGGTATATAAAACTTGAACTGAATTAAAGCCTATAGATGACAGTGAAAAAAATGTAATAATAATAATTCACTACATCAAATGTTGACCTTAGATTCTATTAGCCTTTATTTGACACAGTTTATTAACAAATTAATTTTTTCAAACTTATTTTTGTCTAACACTCTTTCAATAAATAATTTTTTCACGTAAATTCATGATTTTTCATACTTTAATCACTTATTTTAGAAAAAGAAAAAAAAAGAAAAAAATCATTTTCACTTCAAATAATCTCTTGCAAACAAATACTTAGTATAGTACATTATATTATGTTTGACTCTCTTTATTTCAAAATTCTTTATCTCTCATACTCATTTTCAACTGTATTTATACAATAAAATATTTTGCAGATAAATTCAAAATTTTTCTTATTTTTTAATTACACATTCTCTTAAAAATTACTGTTCAAAATATCATTTTCCCAACTACACTTTATAATGGCCATCAAACGGAGAGTTGAGATCTACTATCCAATTTTGCTATCCAGCTTGTTGTCCACCCACTTAATTATTGACATCAATTTTAAATTAACATGTCATCTCAAATTTACACTTATTAACTTCACCGTTAACCCACCAAATTGATGACATATTAATTTAAAATGACCTATAAATAATTAATTGGGAGGACAGCAAAAGTTAAGCAGCAGATCTCTTGTTCAATTGTAGATGTCAAAAATATATTGTTGTTAATTTAAAATTTATTGTCGAATTATGGTAGAAATCAATGTGTTACTTAACCTTGACGATCAATTTGCTCTTTATCATTTAAAACTAACTTTTATAGGCTTAACCAAACATGTTCTTTAGTCTAGTAATTTATATACTTGTCTCTATTTAGTTAAGAATATACAAGATGGCATAAATTTGTTGAATTTTATTTAGAAAGAGACTATTAATTTATTGTCATAAATAGCCCGCTCTATATTTTCAGATAAGCACGTACATGAATCTCTCCAATTTTTCTTTTTCATCATTGATGTCATATTTGGTAAATCTATAAACAGTTTAAATTATACATCAATGAATTAAAATGTATTAATATACATTATGTAAGAGAAGAAGATACAAAGGCATACTAGATTATAATGTTCCAAGAGTCGGTAACAATAATCTTACCTGAAAATTCTTCAATTACATTGCTTTGTATGATCGGAGAAATATCACACCAAGAACCTTTCATATTAGTCGGGTTCGTGGGCAGACAGAATCAATACATGATTCCTTATGCAGTGAAAGGCAATCAAGCATTGTAGTTTCCCTTTTTCCAAAAAAGAAGGAAAATGAAGTCTAGATAGAGAAACTTAAAAATATCAATATGGACAATGGTCTAGACTAACATTGTTATATCAAGTTCCGTCGAATCTCATTTTGTCTTCTCTTCTGGCATCTTTTTAATAATTATTCGAATATTCTTCAATTTGAAAATTAACAACAAGATGCCTTGCTTGGCATAAGCTATGCGTTCTCATCTATTGAAAGCATTATTTTTTAGTTGAATATTTCTAGTCATTTTCATATAATTGATTTTATATTAATCAATAATAGAGATTCATTAGTTATGCGTTCGGACGAAAATATTATCTTTTAATTAAATATTCTTAGTCATTTTCATATAATTGATTTTAATATTAGTCAGTGATTGAGATTCATTTGTCATGCGTTCTCATCTAACGAAAACATTATCTTTTAATTGAATATTTCTTATCATTTTCATATAATTGATTTATTATTAGTCAATGATTGAGATTCATATAATCTTTAATCAATTGAAATCTTGTGACCCAAGTATTTGTATAGAAATTAACTATAAATCTTTTAAGGGATATAATGTGCAAAATAAAATACCCAGAAGGATCGATATTTATAAATGAGAATTCAATTTATAACTTCGATTGTCAAGCTTACTTTGTATTTGAAGATGCATTGATACTTGAGACAAAAAATAATAGTTATTGCTGTATTTGTAAGACCATCTTCAGTTATGATATAAAATAGATTTAAATTATGATTTGGATATTCAAAGTGGATGAAAACTTCTCAAATAGAGAGATGAAAATAAAATGTGTATTGCATTTTTCGGCATAAAATGTTAAAAAAATGTAATAAAGACGTAAGTGTTAAAAAAGGAAAGTTTATTAGGGTTTAGAGGTGAATGACAATTATACCCCTGTAACCCTAGAAATAATTATTGTTGTATCCCTGATTCTACCCTGTAAATACAGGGCTTTGGTTCATAATAAAGACACACAAGTCTATTGCTTTCTCTCTGTTCTCTTCTTTTTTCTTCACTTTTATAACACGTTATCAGCACGATAACTTAAGTTTTTAAAGTTTAGTGAATATTCATGATATATTGTCAAGACACCTGTTTGATTGATATTGCAACTACACATACTATTTTTCAAGAAAAAAATATTTCTTGGATTTAACATTGAAAGAAAATAATTTCAATACAATATCAGGTGCATCGAATATCGTTGAAGGCTCCGAAAGAACTTGTATTATTTTATCAAATAATACAAAATTATATATTGACGATACACTTTATTCTAGCAAGTCCAGAAGAAACTTATTTAGTTTTAAAGATATACGCTGCAATGGATATCATATTGAGACGACGCAAGAAAATAATATCGAATATCTTTGCATAACTTCTTTTATATCTGGTCAAAAGCAGATAAAAAAAATAATTTTATGCACTCCTATCTCGCATGTATTATACATTTATAAAAATGGTTGAATAGAATAATGTCACGAACCAGAAATTCATTGACCCAAAAAGTTTTATACTTTGGCATGATCGACTTGGACATTCAGAAGCTATAATGATGCATCGAATAATAAACAATTTACATGGACATCCTTTAAAGAATCAGAAGATTCTTTTACCTAATGATTATCCATGTGTAACTTGTTCACAAGACAAGTTGGTTATTAAACCTTCAACTACAAAAGTCAATATTGAATGTCAAACTTTTTTGGAAAGAATTCATGGAGACATATGTCGACTAATACACCCACCATGTGGACCATTTCGTTATTTTATGGTATTAATTGATTCTTCTACTAGATGGTCACATGTTTGCTTACTTCACTAGGAATGTAGCCTTTGCTAGACTACTTGCTCAAATTATAAAATTACGAGCAAAATTTTTCAATTATTCAATTAAAACTATTCGCCTTGACAATACTGGTAAATTTAGATCACTAGCATTCGATAATTATTGTATGCCAATCGAGATTGTAATTGAACATTCAGTTGCGCATGTCCATATAAAAAATGGTTTGGCAGAGTCGTTTAGTAAACGTCTACAACTTATTATTAGACTATTACTTATGAAAACAAAACTCCCAGCTTCTGCTTGGGGTCATGCCATATTTCATGCTGCACCATTGGTTCATATTAGACCAACTGCCTATTATCAATATTCACCGTTGCAACTGACATTTGGTTATGAACTTGATATTTCTTATCTACGGGTCTTTGGTTGTGTTGTCCGAATCCCTATTTTACCCCCACAACGTACTAAAATGGGTCCCCAACGAAGATTTGGAATTTATGTGGGTTTTGATTCACCATCAATTATAAGGTATTTTGAGCCTTTAATTGGTGACTTATTTATTGCATGTTTTGCAGATTGTCATTTTGATGAAATGACTTTCCCAACTTTGGGAGGGAAAAAACTACATCCTAAAAGACAAGGTAAGATTACTTGGAATGAAGCAACTCT